CTTACTTACTGCTTCTTAAAGAAAGAAGCAGTAAGTAAGGTAAGTAAGCCAATTGTTCCCAAAAGATGCAGAAAAACAATGACAGGTTTATAGAAGAGGATTGAAATGATTGAAAAGAAAACACTCCAAGTGGTTTTAAAAAGACATTTTACTCTGTTTTTACATCGTTGAACCTCTGACAGGATGAACCAGGTGTTTGTCTAAAGATAAATCTAACCGATGTGAGGAGGACTCCACCAATTAACTGTCTAAATAAAACAAGTGAAGATTACAGCAGAAACACAGTAAAGGCTACAGATATGACACAGCAGGTAAACCATTCAGATCACAATGTTTGCTTTTAGATCATCGACACAAAGTCAGCTGGGAGACATGAGGAGAATTGGAGAAATAATCAAACCTCAGAGAACAAACATGGCTGCTAACGATGCATGAGTCTGTTTAACGTTGGTTTACTGTATGTCGATAGTGAAGGGATGACAGGATTTTCTATTTACAGAAACACACACAGCCATTCAGAACAGTTTATTTTTATGAAAGGAAAATAGCACACAGTGAAACAGTGAGGACTGGAGACAGGAGGTCTGACCTCTGGATTAAACTGCTCTATGGATGAACATCTAGGAATGGTAACACTTCCAGGGGTTTAGTGACAGGACTGAGAAAACGGCCATGGTGGCTCCAGGTGGAGACACTGTTCTGCTGGAAACATGTTCTCACTGCAGGAAACATTTCCAGGGTCCAGGATAGTTTTCTATGGTCAAGCTCTGCTGTTTCCATTGAGGGAACCAGGATGAAATCACATTATCAGAGCGGGATGTTACCGTCATGATAGAGGTAGTACTTTTTGTATTCAGAGCCATTTACAGCTGAGTCCAATGATGCAGCTTATTTGGTTCAGATTGCTATAAAACAGAGATATTACTGCCTTTCCCTCGTGTTTGTACAGTATGATGGATAAAAACAGAAATGATTTGCAGTGAAATCCACTCTCAGACAGAGCATGTTTGTCTGAAAATCAAGAGAAAGCTGTTTTTATTTTGGCCATCTCCATGGCGATGTCTGAGGATCCAGCTGGAAGCGGCAGCTGGCAGAGAGCCGGGAAGAGGCTACTTCATCAAGATCATCTGGACAAGAGAAACACTACATTTTTTGCATATTTTTTGTTTTCTAGGGAATCAAAATAAAACCTCCTATAGAGGAATATTTAATGTTAACATTAAATCTGACATGAGAAGCAGTTAACATTTGTTTGCAAAACAACATTCAAAATTTTTTAAACATGTTATAAATATGTGATCTATGGTGCTTCTATTCAAATATGATGATTGAATCAATTTAGAGGAGAATCTCTTGAGGCTTCGGCCTAAATGCTCTCAGCAACAGACATGCAGCTGCTGTTGCACGATGTTAGCAATGATTATTAAAAACTTAAAATATTTTCAGCCCGTTATACATTTCTGCTGTCTTTAAAGTTGTTTTACTCTAATCTATAAACTAAATTTCATTGCTTTTGGCGGAGGTTTCAAAGTTTGTGGCAGCAGAGCAGACCACTGGGCCTTAGACCTCTCTTGTTTGTGAGGGTAACATTTATTTAACATTTGTTGCAGCCACATTTCCATGAGGTTGGTCTGCTTTATATAAGTTCTGGAGTAAACCTTGGAAAAAATATTGCTGCTTTTTGCAATGACAGTCCAATGTAGGATGAAGACTATATTGGTCTGAGTTTTGTAAAAAAAAACATGACTACGCTGCAAAAAATGGAAATCTAAATAAATCATTTTTGCTCAACTTAAGTGGATTTTTTTCTTTAATTGAGGAGGTAAGTGAGACACTTTGCCAATGAAACAAGACAATTTACATTTAAAATAAGAAAAAACAATTGCTTTGTCTTATTTCAAATGTATATTATCTAATTATCTTATTTTAGGAGTAAAAGTACTAATTCCATCAGCAGATCATCTTATTTACCTGCTCAAATTAAGGGTAAATACACTTAATTTAAGAAATGTTTGACTTATTTCTAGATGTTTTTTGCAGTGTACAGTTTGGGCTGATCTGCCTAACTGACATACAGACCATATAGTGTGAGAGATAGGAGCACAGGAGTTCCACAGGGGGAGGTACTCTAACCATTTCTTTTTAATCTCTACATCGAAGCCATCTGCAGATTTATTTGGATATCTACTGTTACTGTTCATCAGAGATGGGTTAGGGTGATATTCATCATCTGTTGGGATAGCAGCTCAGAGCCAGTGATTTAAAAATATTCAACCATCTGATAAAGCTGGGTGATCTGTTCAGAAATGATTGTGCAAAGAACAGAAGAAATATCCTTTATTGTCCCTCAGTGGCTCAGTTCAGGGTGGGCCAACAGAACAAACCAAAGCACGAGGATTCAATCAGGAGGTAAAAATCTACAAAAAAAGGAAGTGAGGATAAAAGACTGAGCTGTGTAGGTATATGTACCGCATAAAAACACCCATTATTTAGAAATAAACTTGGATTCAAAGAAATGTGTAACTGAAGGATGCCCCTAAATACAAAGACCATAACAGAGAACCCTGAGGAACCTCTTGAAATAAAACACACCTTAGTTCCTCATTTAAAGGAGTCTCTAGAAAACAATCCTCTAAGACATCCTTCCTGCTCACAGTCACAATTATCTGAAATGACTCTGAAGATGGTTGGAGAGTTGATATAAAGAATTACCTAATTTCTGCCTCTGCTGGACGAGAGATTGACTTTGAATGTTGTCTGCAAACAATAACAAGTATTTAATCCGTAGATTTCTTAACAGATTATCAGTCTGTGGAAGACTTGCTATAGTTGCAGTTCTGGTGTTACGTTGAATACATTCCTCATCAGCACTAAACCAGAACTGACCGTCTCAGACTAACTCCCATCAACAGCCCAGCTTTAAACTCAACATTAGAAACAGCCACTGGACCCTGGAAACAGCTCAGGACAAAAAAAAAGTACTTCCTATTATTTCATTTCTACTTTAATGAGAGGACTTAAACATAAAAAAAAAATCCTAAGTCTGAGACATGATAATAAAAATGTGAGCAAATGTATAGGGTCTCATTAAAGCCAAAACAGAAGTTTAGCCCCCGATCAGACCGTCCATAGTACACCAACCTCACTGTTCAACATGAGATGTTTGTTCTGCTTATTGCATGCAACATATGACAAAGGAGCACTTTAACATCACAGGTTATTCTTTTCATGAACAGGCACTTGTCACTCAGCAACTAAATGCATAAAGATCTCAGCTCTGTCAGTTCCAAAAACCAATATGAATGAGGCCAACAGTCAAAGTCTGCTCTTAGGATGGTCGTATTAATGCCGTCAGGGCGACTGAACAAGTCCCTGTCTGCATGTGACAAGTGCCTGTTGACAAAACACATTTAGATTTGATAAAAGATTTAAAAACTAGACTTTTTGAAGTCTTTTTTTATCTGCTAGAGTTGGAGGGAAGCAGTTAACAAAACTTCTTTAAGAAGCTTTTTTGATTTTCACATTAAAAATTTCACAAACTTGAGTTCAAATAAGCGTAGGAGCCATGTAGGCACAAAGGTTTACCAACAAAGCCTCAGAGTCTTTCTCCAATCGGCGAGGAACAGTCGGATAGATCAGCATCATCGTACCTTTATTATTGAAAAATACAAACAGGGGCATTGTTTGGAAGATTGACCAAATAGATCACAACTGAGCAGGTCTGCTTCATTTTTTAGAGCAGTTTATGGTTTCCGCTTCCTGTTTCTCAGTGTG